AAGTGACCTTGAAATAGCTTTTTTTTATATCAGCACTATATATCAGCAATCTGGACAAGGATACTGTAATGATACCTGCAGCCATACTGTTTTCACATTGATTTTGCCGTTTTTGAGCCCTTCATAGAGTTCTCTGAACTGTTGGCTGCCTTTTTTACTTGAACGGAGAAGTGGTGTCATGAAAACCTCAGTTCCGAGACCAGCTGTAAAAAAATAAGTTAGACTAGAAAAACAGATGCTAACAAATAATCAATACCTATCGATTGCACTGACCTTGATTAGCATTACGAATGTTGCTTACAGCGTTGACATCAAATCTGCCAGATCCCGCAGGATCATAAGCTCTAAAAATCAAGAATAAAAGATGTGATAAAACGTTGTCAGAAAGGCCACACCTACCTTATAATTGCCGTCTTGTAGCCGGCTTTCTTCATGCAGGAAAATGCAGCCAAGGATACAGGTCTATCTAGATCGACAGCGTATGCGTAGGAAGTGCTTGCAGCCTGCAACAGATTATTCTAGGAAATCAACAATTCAAACAATTTTCTGTTAACCACGGAAATTTCCTATTGTCACTCTGAATAAATAGCAAAACTTATTACTTTAAATGATTACTGTGTTCATGTTAAACATACTCCGAAAATAAACTACCAAACTTTTTGTTCTTTGAACTCGATACCTACCACAGATGACTCTGGAATCACTGCCTTAGAGATGCTTAGAGCAAACAACGATGGAAGAATGAAGAGGGCATTCATAGTGCTAAAAATGAAACTCAGTTTGTTTGTTAAATATTAAGCCGTAAATGTGAAGCCAACCTTTATTTGGTTTAGATAATCAAGAAATTGAAGCGTTTGATGAGTTGCTTCAATCTTTCTATTTTATAGATGCATTGTCCTTATCGGAGTCGTGGGTGGACAGGACATTGTATTCAACAAGAAGGTGCTTAGCACGACCGTTGCTTGTCATTTGGCAATTTGACATTTCTGAGCAGAGTCACTGATCCACTGGAAAAAGGTTAAGTCACTCAAAACCATTTCCGGCATTGCCAAGTCTACAGATGTCACAACTTTAGTGGGCCGCTATCATGGCTAAGAATCTTTAGAGATGACTTTCCGGTAGAAAAACGATTATAGAGTAAAGAGGATTATTCAGAAAGTTGTGACTCAAAGGGATTATCTCG